TATATTTAAAATGAGATGTTTATCTTGTATCTGATTGTGTTTATCTGCAGTTAGTTATACGAATTCAGATATGGAGCTTTAATAAGTTGTACCTACGCAAAGTTTACTTGTAATCTTGAGTTTTAAGTAATATGCATTGATTAACAGTACTTTACGTATAAAAAGTGGTTTTTAAGAGTTTTTGTCAAATGATTTATAACATAGAATATATTTTTTATACATAATTTAATTTAAGTTTAATAATAAAACAATTTATTTTTGGTTTAATATTATAAATTTTATAAAGATAATAAATAATTAAGTATTCTGTTATAACTCAATGATTATCGTAATTATATTTTAGATTTTTTCATATTTAAAATGAAATGTTTATCATGTATTTGATTGTGTTTATCTGCAGTTAGTTACACGAATTCATATATGGGATGAAATCGGATAGGGATGAACGTGTTTAAGAGTTTTTAAGAGTTTTAGCCAAATGCATTATAATATAGTATAGATATATATATATATATATATATATATATTGTTTTTAAATAAAATATAAACACAATCATAATAAATATGTTTAATTAATATAGCTAAATTAATTTAAACATTAAATTTTATCATCACCTAAAATTAAAATTATACATATTAAAACATACAATATTGATAAAATTACATATAATCTAATCTATAAAATTACATATAGAATAATCTAATACGCACGATTAATAAAACGGCACCAATAAAATTACATCTGTATTCGTCTAAAAATTGCCGAATTTTTTTATCATATAATCTTCATTGTTGCTCTGTCATAGTTGATGGATCCATTTCCATCAACCTAATTGTCAATTCTTCTTTTTTAAGTTCATCTTTTTTTTTCTCTCTCATTCATCTTTTTTCCTCTCGTTCTTCTTTTTTTCTGTCGTTCTTCTTTTTTTCTGTCGTTCTTTTATAACTTTCGTATATTTGTTCATTGCTTCTATTTTATCAGCATCAAAATTGTCCAAGTGCATGGGCTGGACAATATGCCGGAAAAAGTGGAAAGCCAACAATCATTTTGGAAGCCATTGCATCATATGATTTATGGATATGGCATGCTTTCTTTGGAACCCCATGTCCGCTTTGATATTAATGTACTCCACTAATTTTATGTTTTTATTGATGTATTGGCAGTTCGATCACCAAAAGTTAGTTATGTCATGAATGATCACGAAAATGATAGCGCATATTATCTCACTGATGGCATATATCCTTCATGTGCTGCATTTGTCAAGTCAATTACATGTCCCCGAATGCGGAAGCACAAGTTGTTTGCTCAAGTTCAAGAGGCATGCAGAAAAGATGTTGAGCGAGCATTTGGAGTTTTACAAGCTCGTTTTGCATTTATTCAACGATAATATCTTGTTTGGGACAGACATATAAAGCGACGAATTATGACAGCTTGTATCATCATGCATAATATGATAGTTGAAGACGAACGAGATACATACCAAAATAATTATGATCTTACTAAGTTTCTTAACGACATGCCAACAAATCAACAACAAGGAAGCGCTACAGAAGATGGTCAATCAACTGAATTCTCTACTGAACATATTTCAATCCTATCTTGTTATATGGTTAACAGAGAACAATTTCGCAATAAGAAAGCTCATAATGTTCTAAAAAATGATTTGATTGAGCATATATATATATATATATATATATATATATAGCAAAAATTCGGTCATGATAATTAACTACGATGATTTATGTATTTCAGATATGTAATTTTGTACTTATTTTTGTGACTTGTTTTATTTAATTTCAAATATATAACAAGTTTTTTATAATTTTAATTATGTTTTAAAATATGTAATGGCTCGTTTATTCTATTCTTATACTTAAAATAAAAAATAAAAAATTATATATAAAAAAATTAAATATATGATTTTTACAAGAAAATATTTTAGATTAGATTGGATTAGTGAGGATTATGGTTAAATGATAAAAGAAGCAAGATTAAATAAGAGAGAAAGTAATATTTTAATTGAGATTAGATCGGAAGAGATTGTGATTAAAGATAGTCTTAAATTTAAACATGGAGGGGTATTTTTGACCATCTATTTTTCCTTTTTTTTCACACAGAAAACATTTGATTCTTCCTTCTTCCTCCGATGAACATCACCTTCTTCCTCCAATAGATCGTGATCACGTTTGGTGATTGAATGTCTCTATTGATGCAGTCTTTCTTCTTTGATTGAGCATCTCCAATTGATAACCCTTATGTTGATTTCAACAGCAATTACCATTGATTATACCTAATTTTTGCACGGAACTTCTCTACTTTAATACAAGTAAGAAAATCTAGGGTTGATAAGAATTTCTACTTTAACTTTTAATTTTCTTGCCTTCTTTATAAGATAGGTGATAAGAAATTCTGCTTTGATCTAGGGTTTAGGACATTTTAATTTCAGGTTTAAATGCCTGATGAAGATGAAGATGAAGATGATCAGCAAATTATCTCGAATGATGCTTTCAACAATGCACAAGGTAATCAAGATCATTACTTTATTTCAAATTACTTTCAACTACGTTCAATTACCTTTGCTTACATTCAAACACCTTCTAATTTCAATCCCACCTCAAGTTCGATGCAGTGGGAGAGGGTGTTTGGTTTGTGGAGGCATCTGCAAATTGTACCCTTAAATCTGCTGCTTACTTTGAGGATGTCACCTCCATTCCATTCGATAAGCTACTTCCTCATAATCCTCCTCAAACTCAAGGCATTGATCCTCTTGTTCTAATGTTTGTGACAAAACTGGAGTAATTTGGTGTATATATATATATATATATATATGCATGCAACGGCACTTTGGTTAATGAAAGTAATTTGGTACATTATATGCATGCAACTGCACTTTGCTTAATGAAAGTAATTTGGTACATATATGCATGCAGGTGACAGAATTTGAAGGTGATGGATTTGTAATGGGACTTGCATTCTGCCATACCATATATATATACCACTACTAGAAAACCAAATATCAGCGAGCGAAAAAGCGAGGGATCAGCGAGGGAAATGCCAAAAACTCAATCCCTCGTTGATCCCTCGCAGATCAGCGAGGGATCAGCGAGGGAATTGACAAAAACTTTTTCCCTCACTGATCTCTCGCTGATCTGCGAGAGATCAGGGAGGGAATCTGATTTTCGCAATTTTTTTTATTTTTTAACTATTAATTTAATTACTTATTAACTTTTAATTATTGATTATTAAATTTTCAGTTATT